CTGTCTGCTGGGAAAGAAAGTCTGAATTACCTCCTTGCTAGTGAGCAAAACTTGCCATTTGTCCTGGAGTGGAGCCCAAAGCTCTGGATCCTTCACAGTTGGCAGCCCTGAGGAAGCACATATGGTAGCTACATGAGCACAGCTAGAGATAGGTAAAGTGGTGTTGACTGTAGAAACTTTTGGAAGCTTAGTTGCAGCTGAAATATGATGAGACTCACAGGCTTAAATCTATATACTGAAAAGTCTCCAACATGGCATCAAGCAAGCTAACAGAAAAATAGGTATGGTTTTGATGAAAACTTGCCCTCTGTTATCAAAGTTGCTGACCGTATCTGAGTACCTCAGTAGCTTTCTGGAAAATTCTTATGGCCTGAAAGTTTGAGCAGCTACAGATCACATCGTGCCCTTTAGCTAAAGCAGTAATTGCTCATGCTCATCTGCAGTCCAGATCCTCTTCACTGTTATTGCTTTGCAGATTATGAACTTCGGTCTTTCAAGCATGGCCTGCATTCTTTTTTCATAGATACAGCACCTTGGAATTGGCATGTTCTTTAGATGAGTTAGATCTGCCAGGCAGTTCAGGCCAGATATATGTAATTGGCCTGTCTCCAACATTGTTTATCACTCCATTAATTTCTGCATATTTCAGTAACATATAAACTTCCAGAGAACTGGTGACGATACTGAATATTATAGGGCTGGAACTGTGGGATTATATTTGAAAGGCTCTCACTGAATATGCAGTTTAAATTTTTACAATTATTTTGTAAAAAAAAACTTTTTACACAAAATATTTTTTTTTTTTTTCTGGAGAAATATTTGTTAACCATTATAAATATGCTGATGTTACAAATACTTATTATCTGAATATTGAATAAGAGAGCGTGAAATGTTTAAAAGATGTACAAGTACACAATATCCTAATGCAGCTACCTTTATCAACAAATTTAGAAATGTCATTCGAAAGCAATTTCAAGTGTTCCTGACTACAAATTTTCCATGATCAAGTGTTGACTGATGCTAATTATGTCATTATCTTGAATCCAATATCAGTTCTTATATGATGTTACTGAGGGTCAAGTAAAATTTAGTAAATGTGCCACACCATTCTCTCAGCGCTCAGTAAAGTTTGGTTTAGAGTGCTACAATTGCGTTTGTTTCAGAATTTTTCTTCAGTTCACAAGCATTTCCCAAGTATTGCAGTATTGTTATTTATCAATAGAAATGTCTTGGAGAGCCATCAGTCCTGTTTGGGACTGCTGATTTTAAAATGAAAAATGCTTGCTCTTTGTTATTTTTACTTTTTGGGGGGTTTACTAATAGTAGTGTGTAATTGTCTCCAAATTAAAAAAAAAAAAAGGGTGTTTTCTCCCAGATATATTTTTCATCTTTTTGGTTTTGTTTTTTTTTTTTGTACTGTGCTGATATTTGCTTACTGAGATTAGATTCTGTACATAATAAATGTACTTGTCTTAACTGCCTGTACCCTAGTGACCACAATATATATGCTTTTTTTTAAAATTCACTCAAAAAAATTGAGCTTAATATAGAATGTTTCTGTTTGTTTGTTTAATATGAGAAAATCTGCATGTGAAATAAATGGAGGTTGGACTCCATGACCTCTTGAGATCCCTTCCAAACTCTACAATTCTCTGATTCTGCAATTCTGTGACCTGCAGAATAACGTAAATTGAAAATTGTGAGGAAGTTTGCATTTGTATGAGCTAATAGTAGACCTTGGAGCAGAATACTGTTCCCTGGCCACAAAAATTCCAGCAGTGCATTCAGGGCTTCCTATGGTAGAAGGTAGGTGTCATGTAGAATTTCAAGAAATTGCTCCCTGAATCAATCATTGAATACAGTGGGGTGGAAAGACTGAAGATTTGATATGACAGAGTTTTGAAGAGCTGTGAGTGAACATATAAATAAAATTCTATTGCCTAAACACCTACCATTCTTTGAGATGTCCTAGAGCATCCAAGACATGTGTTATCATATACGAAAAGGCATCTAGGTCAGAAATACAGGTTTATGCCTTTCTGGAGGAACATCAGGCTACATAGGATACACGTCAGAATTTAAGATAATCCTGCATGCCTAGAGCTTTTTCAGTTGTTTTTTTTTCACTTCTTCGACCTGATTGTAGATCTGGATTATGTGGGTCACATGGGGGCTTTTCCAGCTTAGTGACAGGATGAGGTGAAATGGCTTTAAACTGGAAGAGGGTAGATTTTGACTAGATATTAGGAAGAAATTCTTCTGTGAGGGTGGTGAGGCACTGGAACAGGTTGCCGGAGAGTTTATGGATGCCCCCTCCCTGGAGGTGTTCAAGGCCAGGCTGGATGGGGCTTTGAGCAACCTGGTCTAGAGGGAGATGTTCCTGCCAATAGCAGGAGGATTGAAACTAGATGATTTTAAAGGACCTTTCCAACCCAAACCATTCTATGGTTGTATGATTCTATGACTGCCAGTATAGTTAAAAGCAAACTGTGCACTCTTGAAATGGAGAGCTCATTTAGATTTTGAAGGACACACTAATCTATTTCATGGTGTGCCCCTTCTTAACAACTGGGGGAGCATTTCTAGGTTTTGTTCATAATAGTTCTTCCAGCTAGATAATATTTTCTAAACTTCTTTAAAAAACATTTTAGGCTAAAGATCAAGTAGCTCCAATTTTAGTGTCCTCACATAGCCTTATGCATTACAGGAGTTAAAGAATGGTTCTGTTTTCTTGTTAATGAAATGAATAGTATCATCATCTGATGGCTAATTTTTACATTTCGGAGGTGCCATTATGTGCTTTGGCAGAGCAACTTGAAAATCTTGTTTCTTACACAGAAGTATCAGTTAACTGACTTACAGGGTCATTTGTCCCATGCTGAAGACTGGTGGGTTGGGACTAAACTGCACATTGTGTGCACACCTCCACAACCCTCCTTCTTTGGTGGTCCCTGTGAGGTAATGGCATAAACCTGCTACAGAATCCTTTTGGCCTGCATATATAGTTCTCCTTTAAAAGGAAACCATCATTGTTCATTTTTGTTTTCATTTTTTGTTCAATATTTTCCTGACAGAAATTGCAAGTGACACATTCACTTTGCAACAGGAATGCAGTAGGTCCTTGAATATTTTGAAACTCAAGTTCACAAAGTATTTGTGTGGAATTAGGACATACAGTTGATTCACATCAAGACTTAAGGGTTGAGAGCCATCAAAGTGTGATCTGTTAACTCAGGGTATAGAATAGACACAGACTGTGTTCAGTGTTGGCATCATAGTGGGTATCCAGAGGCATGCCAGGTATCCTGGAGTCAACAGAACGCTATACAGTGGAGGCAGAGATGCCTGCCGTCTGATTGAGCCTGTGCTAAAGCTATGCATCTAGATGATGAGAGGACTTGTTCCCTAAGCTCTAAAGGCGATGCTGAGTGGGTGAAGTTCAGGCACAGGCACATTACTCAGGCACAGACAGCAAATGCCATTTCTGATACCAGAGGTTAAAACATATACAGAGAGTCAACAAATACAGCAGAGGATCTGCATGTGCCCTTTTGTATCTTTCTAGACTGGCAATTGGAGGCTTGATGTTTACCTTATAGTACCTCAGATAATGCCACTGGTTGACTATGATGGGAGCCAAAGCTTTAAATATATATTCACACAGCTATACAGAAGTATCTTAATGAAACACACTCTAGATGATGCAGGGGTACACACTGGAATTGAAGCCCCTTAAGTAGAGGCTGCTGCTGTAGTAGCTTTTGTGATTTGTGCTTATTTTAGAAGGTCATCCCTAAAGAGTGGAATAAATCATGTTGTCAGGAGCCAGGTGATGAATACCAAGAAGCAGAGCTAAAGTGGCAGTACAGAATCTTGTGGAAGTGGTCCTTTCTTTCCGCTAAATGCCTGCCACCCACAAGTTTTATTGCTTTGGCTCTTTCCCTGTGATACAATGAGTTGAGGGAGCTCTAAACTGCTACTTGTTTTTATTTTTTTCCTGAGAGAACCAGAGCCACAAGGTCAGTGCCTGTGCTTCCTGACCTTTTTAATATCATCTCTATGTATAAACTACCACAGATCCATCTTGCCGTCCCATTTTTTCTGCATGCAAAGTAGCTGGTAATGCAGATATTGCATAGATTTTCAGGGACATGGTCTCTTAACAGAATTCAGTGCAATCTGCTTGCATTGTACAATATTATAAACACTACTAAGCATGTGCAATTTCACCTTTAAAAATCTAGTGACAACTGTATGTGAAGATCAGGAAAATCCTTGTGGCCCTATGGTAACTACTACAGATCAATGTTTATGCTTTCAGCTCTATTCAGCAGCACTGCCCCTACCTGGGAAAGATTTAAGATTTCTGTGTATTTATCACTGCAAAAGGAGTCATGTCTGATAGGAACAGTGTTTATAAAATGAAGGTAAAGATTTAAACCTTTTTATTGAGTGAGCACATTCCTGAATCTGGAAATACATATCTAAACAATGAAACATTGCGAAGGTCATAGCGCTATACAAACAGACAAGAAATCTGTGAAGTTCTAATGATGACTCTTTATCTCCTTTTTGGTCGCTGTTCTTTCCTCTCCCAATGCAACGTATTTGGTTAGAAAGCAACCCATAGTATGGGTCCCATTGGCTTTTAACTTTAAACTGTATAGAAATCTTTTGTGCCCTTGTTTCAAAATAAGGGCGTTACCGAGGCTCTCTGTTAGAAATACCCTTTAGAAAGGAAGAACTAGCAATTTGTTGCATAAAATGTGCTATGAAATCAGGGCATGCAAATGGACTGATTAAAGCACAAATTACTGCATTTTCTGTTTTTAAACAAACGCAAAGATCCGAAAAATCCTTTGTAAGGTGGACTTTCCCTTACGGGATAAAATGGAATTAAAATAGTGTCAATAAATTGTGTGAGAGACTGTATCAGTCTGTGCATTGATAGTCTGTGCATGCAGGATAAGAACATTGACTGCCTGCTAATCTATTCCCAGATGGAGGTGGATGCAGACGAGAAGCGCCATCGCACACGCTCCAAAGGTGTTCGAGGTACGTCTCCTGCTTCAGTAAATCACTCAAGGCCCCCGCTCAGGGTGACCTTCATCGTCCAGAATCTCTTAGCACGATTCATTCTGACCCTTGCTTTTACACAACCTTTCTGGTAATTTTCTGTAGAAGAGGGGTACTTGTAATAGATGATAAATCTTTATATATTTTCCATCTCTCTGCAGTTCCCGTGGAACCAGCCATACAAGAGCTGTTCAGGTTAGTGCTCTGAGTGTAAAATGTATCCCCATTAGCAATTTAGAAAATTCATGCCTTTTAATGGGTATAATGCACTTTCAAGTTCATTGGTGGTTTGCTCATGCCCTGCTGCACTGATGAAATTAATTCCCTCGAGACTTGCTAATAAAAAGCATCCCCTCTTTTTTTTTCCCTTCAGTTATTTGATTTCTTTCTCTGTCTTTGTTGCCCTCCATTTCTGTAAAACCTCCTGCCTGCTTTTAGTATAATTTTTCTGCAGCACTCCCGCACCTTTATAATTAATTCTCTCCCTTTTGCAGCTGTCCCACGCCTGGCTGTGATGGCAGTGGTCATGTTAGTGGCAAATATGCAAGGCACAGAAGGTAATATCTGTAATTTTTCATAATTATTGAAGAGATTTGGTAAACAAGTCAGTTGGCATGAAAACAAGTCAGCTGGCATGACCTTGATAAACCAAACAATGATAAAAATTTGAAATTAGACCTAGAATCTGTCTGGATTCATATATTTTTTTCTCTCCCCCTTTTTTTTTTTTTGTTTGCTTTAAGCAGTGCTTTTTATTTGTCTTTTTTGCACTGTGTTATTTAAAACCTTTGAAATTTCTACCAAGCATAAGCATCACATAAATTAAAAACTTTACAAATGCAAATGAGGTCAGGTCCTAAGCCCTCTTACAATACTCACAGGACCACTCTGTCCATCTTAACCATGGAGGTGAATTTCACACGTAAACCTAAACCAAGTTTTTGCTTGAGGAATCTTGTTCTTGTTTTCAGCCTTCTCTCAATTTTTTCATGCAGCTCATATGTTGCAAAGTAAAATTTGGCCTTGCTGACATGTTGGTGCCATTGTGATTTCTGTTATTTAATGAATTTCATAAGTAAATGAGAGCTTCTGAACACTGCGCGTTTGATGATTGGGTTAAGTTCAAAGGTCAAAAGCTTAAGACAAAATCATTGATAATAAGATCTATGGATTCAAATATTACGCTATACTTATAGATATACTTACTTGAGATTCTGAACTATGATACGTGGAGAGATCTCCATTAGGAAAATAAGTTTAGCCATTTACTGTTAATAATATAATTATGTTAATAATAGCGTTATGTTATACGTGTGTACATGTGCTTCAAATTAATTTAGAACTCAATATTTAAATTTGTCTGCAATAGGAATGTTCAATATTGCCTTGTATGTCTGTATAAAGAAACATTCATTTACTAAATCCTTCATGTATTATTTTGAAAAAAATATCAACGTTTAAGCTAGAGGACACGTTAATTTTTCTTGTTTGCAGTGCATTTCATTTAACTCATTTTATACAGCAGACTGTTTTAAGTGGCCGACGTTTTGGCCATGTGAAGATAAATGTGTTCAAACTACTGTTAAATTCTCCTGTTACAACTTTTTTACTATCGACTTATTCAGATTTTAAAGCATTCGTGGTGTTTACACTTACTAGAATGCATATTAAGCACCAAATTTGAGAGATGATACATGCATTTTATGAATTAAATGGAAATTATGCAGTTGGACGTGATGATATTCGTAGGTTCCTTCCAACTTCTGTTCTGTTCTGTCCTGTTTTATCTTGTCCTATCCTGTTGTATCCTATTCTGAAAAATGCAAAATGCAAAATAGTGAGATATCAGTCCACTCGGTGTTAACAATGAATGAAGCATAGGGACAAATCAAGAAAATACTTAAAAAATTAAAACAAGAAATGGAAGTGCCAGATACTAAAAATATTTTGAATTACATTTCTAAAATATGAAGCATTAAATATTTTTATTTAGATTTATTTTGTTAATCCTTTTTTCAATCATAATATTTTTTTGATAGTTTGAAGGATTTTGGTTAAATTGGAGCACTGATACTTGTATAGCCAAAACCACTCTTCTTGAAACTATAGTGATTTCTCATTTCAAACCATGTTTTTCTTTCTCCATTTTATTCATGTAAATGCAAGCTTCATCAGTAATTAATGAATGGCACCAAATCCTTCTCTTCCTTCAGAAATTTCATGAAGAGCTAGCAGTTAAAATACATGATTATAATGTCCTTTCTAGTTACAAGATTGTGACTACATTCATTTCTTTATGCTTCATGGGATTTGCATGCTGTCAGTAATTTTGAAACCACACAGAACAAAATTTCTTAGCTTAAAAAAAAAAATCTAACTTTTCTTCTGAATTACTCTAACTTTTAATTGTGTTTGCCTGATATCAGTTTTTTGGGGGGTAGAAAGAAGGGAAAGATACAAGGTTGGAAAGGATTACAGGCAGTCTTGAGGCATCACTTCCATACTTTTTCTTAACATGATTCTTCTTTGCCAGTACACAAACAGATAGAATCTTAGAACTGTTAATTAAGTGAAATTTTAGGGTGGATGTAGAAAAAATAAAAATTGGAAATATATCAGAAATTATTTTCTTCTTACGAATTCTTAAGTTTTTTAAATTGTTTTCTTACCACTCTGATTGCCATTCCACTAATCAAAATATATTTAACTAATGTATGTCTCATTTAGTGTGAAAACAAAAATTATTTGTTGAGGCATACAACACACCTATTTCCTGAAACAGCAATTTTTTTTTTCCTAGTAAAATTACCTAGTAATTTAAAGTTTTTGAACATTTTTGAAAGAATTTTTTTTTTTCTTCTAATTTTTTGTTTGGGTGGGAAAGACCCTCCAACATTTCTTCCAAAGAAATCAGACTAACTTATAAATTTTATGCACTCAGGTGCTGCCTAACTCAATTCCATTTAGACCCATGGAGCATGAGGTTAATGAGGTTAAGACTTTTCCATTCACAATATCAGACTAACTCTTTATAAGAAATGAAATGTATTTGCTTTCACTAGATGCAGTCAGGGCTCTCTATACTGTTTCGAGGGTTTTTTAAATAACATCATGAATTCTCTGGAATTTTTGGTTTTGTTATGTTTTCAATTAATTTTTGTTAATAGAATTTTATCTTTGTATTACCAATATTACAGTGAAAAAAATGTTCAGATGCTGCATTAAACTTCAACTGAAACAAAAAGATGCTTTCAAATTTTCAGGCAAATTTAGGGATGAGACATTGTTCTGCTGAGAAAATATCAAGTAGAAGTCAAAGGAGAGTTTTATCAATGTTTCATTATGAAATTAATTATGAATGGGCTGCTGACAAGTTCACAAATCTACAACATAACTGTGCAGTGCTAGACTTTGCCAAGGAAACAAGCAGGCCTTATAAGCCATTGAGGTGCAAAACGCAAGGCTGGTTCTAGGGTAGGATAAGAGTGTCAGTGGCTTATTGCATCATTTCCATCTTTTTGGATTTTTTTTTAGAAGATCTTACTGTAAAATTAAACATTGCATGACAGTGAATACTCTTAGCTCTTAAGTGCAGTGCTTAATTTAGTTTGCTAATTGGGCATGCTATCAAGTCAGCCAAGATGGACAAGCTGCTCTTCTGGGCAGTTTTAAATGCAAGATGCTAGCATCTTTAAAATTAACTTGGAGGAAGCATCTCTCCCAAATGACTACATACAAAGCTCAGAAAGCATCCCAGGTTTGGGCATTAAGGAAAATGCTCAAAATTGGTGTCTTAAGAGCAGTCTTATCATTTTTCCATTTTAGTAATACCTAGAAACTTGAAGGACCATGGATTCTCCAGCACTGGCTGGGATGCACAGCAAGAGGCAGTGCCTCAGTATTGTACTTTACACAAATATCATTTGTATTTCCAGGTAGCTGATATCAACTAGAATATGCTGTTAAAGAAAGGCTTGTCTTTGTGGGAGAAAGCAACAAGAAAGGCATGAGTTGTGGAAGATATGTGAGGGAGGGAGGAAGGGAGAGAGGGAGACGTAAACACATTCAGTTAATTGTGGAGACAAGAAAAGAATTCCGATCTTAGGAGTGAAAAGCAGAGTTTCTCCCTGGACCATACTCCTAATACTGTTTATTTTATTTCCTTAGTAGCTTTCCAGGTCCACTGTGGAGAGTGGCATGATAATGAACAGCTCTCTTGCACTTCCCAAGCTGTATATTATTTTTGGACAATAAATGTGTTCCAGATCCTTTGAATGCTTTTAGCTGTGATCAGCCCACCTCAGTATATTGCAGTTAAACACTGCCCACTCGCACCGTTCCCTCAGCACTGTGTTTGGGATGTCCGTCAGCTAAAATGTCTAAAGAAAAAAAATTAAGATTTGAGTGTTCTTGCATTGCAATTAGAAGAAACATGGCCAGTTTCATTGCTCAGCTTCAAAGACAAAAGGATTCATGTTCTGTGTATACTAATACAAATGTAAAAGCAAGTCCAACTTTGTGCCCAAGTTACGCAGGTAGAAAATCCATAGGTTCTCTAAAGTAACTGAGCACCAACTATGGCCTGTTATTTACCAAGTAGATGAGAGTGGTGACTTTGTAAGCACTGCTTACTACCATGTTGGGATGAACTTAGCATTACTTTTTTTAAGTAAACAACACATCATGTATCCAGTAGATGCTTAAGGTTTTTCATGTAAATAGACTGTGAAAATTGTAATTAGTTTCCACTAAAAAACAAAACAAAACAAAACAAAAAACTAATTACATGCAGTGGCCTATTTTAAAAGCTTCTTAATGTTGCTTAAGCTATTTTTCCAGTAACAAAAGCAATTAAATTCTTTAATGGACTAATCACTTGCAAAATATGGCATTCCTCAGAAGAAAACACATTTTAATAAATGGGATCCCTAAAAAGAATCTTAAGCTGGTATGTAGAACTGTATGTATTAATTTAGGATTCTTTTAATGCACATACTTTCTATAAGTGTGAATTTGAAAACAGATAAGAACCATTGTCTGAAATTTTATTCTGAAATATTATGTATCAAATTTAAGTGAAGAATGAATTATTAGGGTCAAATGACACATCCTTCAAATTTAAAATGGAAATACCAATAGAGCTCTCACTATATAATGAATTTCAATTTGATGAAAATAAGAATTCAGATGAAATAATGCAACTTATAGATTTCATCTACGAAAAAAATTGTCCACAACTTGTCTTCCACTCATATTGCATTTGCACAGGATTTTTTTTTTCATTAATCTCTGTGGTGGAAAAAAGCAAGTCTCAAAAGTGAGGAGAGGAGAATAATGCCTGGCTCTATAGTATATGAATTGTCCCCAGCCTTATAAGTTGTGCTGTGTTTTACTTTACCGATAAATGCCTTGAGATCAGCCAGTTCTTTGTTGCTTTTTGAGGCCGTATGTTTCTATGTATTACATTATGCAGGCAAAATTGTTTTGATTGTCTTTCAATTTTTGAGCATGAGATTTGACACTCGGTACAACAGATTTATTTAAATCTATAAATACC